GGGACTTGGTTGGAGTCACGAACATCGACTATAAGCTCCCTAACCAGACGATCGCTGCTCAGTACTATGCTGCATTACTGGGTTGATGACTCGTATCTATCGAGAATCGGATCGGATTAGAAACTGGTTTTCGGGAAGAGTGCAACGAGTCATGGTTAACAGGGAAGTGTTGACGGAAGGCGGGGTCGCAAGTGGTGTCCCTCAGGAGTCGATCCTGGGACTGCATCTTTTTGTGATCTGCCTTAACGATTTAAATCAAAGCCTAGCGAGTAAAATCAGAACATTTGCCGACGACACCAAAATAGATTTCTCTATCGAGGAGAGGAGAACAGGGCAAGTGCCAAGCAGGATTTACAGCTTTTGGACGAGAAGAAACGCCGAAGTAAGTTTAGGGAAGGGGTCTCATTTTGCATGACAATGCCCCAGCTCACTTGGCTAAGTCGCCTCAAGGGGTATGATAAATCGGAAGCTGAGGAGCTGTCGCCGCAGTATTGACCGCATCATTTCGCGTGCACATAGAGCGGTGGTCGGCAACTGAATTTCACGAGGGGCCGGATGACAAAATGCTGCACGTTCGCAGGCCAACACCCATCAAGTTTCATTAAAATTTTAATTTTTATGAATGTCTAATGTCAAACGTCCAGCCGAACGGCGACTGTCAGACCATAATGTGCGATAGCCGGGTCTTCGTGAGCCAGAGGAAGAGCTGCGGGCCGGATCTTGCCCGCGGGCCGCCAATTGCCGACCTCTGACATAGAGGCTGTGGCGAAAAAGCGGTATAGAGGGAGTTGCCTCGACGTCTCACTACAGGTAATAGGTAGTTTTGGTTACCCGTTCTTGAGAGGACGGCAAAGGATGTAGAACGGATGACATCATTGACGACATCACCAGCAGTTTTAAAAAGCGGGAGGAAGGCGTCTAAGACGTGGAGGGACTCTTCCAGCCATTCACCCAGGAACGTGATCGCGATGTAAAGACCAATCAGAAACGATGGTTAGGAGAGCTTCGGTACAACGTCGTGCGATTCGTCTGAGTCAGTCCTTGTATGGACGACGGATGACTCTCAGTGCTTTGCTGGAACTGGCACCTCATCTGATCATACTCTGGAATAGGCCTACCTGTTATTTCGAGGAACGAGATAGCATACACCTTTTACTGCGAAACGGGAATTTACTCTCTTTCTGAGATCTGACAAATTTCTAGACAACCCATACTAGCCTGCGATGGATGTCACTTCTATACCTCTCAATAGATATGACGAATAATGGGGAGTCTCCCTCTGTTGCCTAAGTTCGGCTGTAAGCCTTGGAATCCTTCATGCAAGCCAATTGCAACAGCTAAAATCTGGTGGAAAATGCATAATGAATTTCTATAGATTTGCAAGTTTACTAGATTGCACCATAGCTTTGTATGACTGAGCCAAAGATGCCCTCAGATTGGTTATTGTTTGCGCATCGTATACATTGAGATCTGTGTAAGTTGCTCACCCCCTTTCCATATATGAAACGCGTAGCCAAAATGTCATTCGAAAATCTGGAACTTGAACGCCTAGTAATTCTTTCACATCGCCGTCCTCAAAAACGAAACCAAAACTCTCTAATCTTTGGTTTCTCGTTTTTCAAGATCTGTCTGGAAACTACTTTGTTCTCGCCTATCTTCTCGATTTTCTAGTCTTTCTTTCCCCATTTCAAACGCCTAAATTGTTATGGCTTCTATTGCAACTTTTCGAAAAATTGCTGCATCGTCTGAAACGAGCCTTAGAATGGAAAAGAAAATCTCAAGGAGATATCACTTTCGGGTGAACCTCATGCTGTCACTCTCAGGAAAAAATTATGCAAATAATTTATTTCGAGTTCATTCCCGCTTTTCACTGCTTTTTAGGTCTGTTCAGTCATTGTCATTCCTCCACGCTTCCCATTTCCTCTAGTGATGTACGTGGCATAGGAAGAAACTAAAATTCTGTATGTCTACGTTTTAATTCGCAATCTAGAAATTGTAGAACTGCCGAACCATCATATTTTGGAAAAAGGGCCAAAGAAAATGTTAGAAAAACGCTGCACAAGTAAATCCATTGTTTTGGGTTTTTAATTTGTATGATTTATTCTCCTCTGTTATGTTTTATCAAGAATTTCGACACCTATCGAGGCTCATCCTTCTCTGTATTTTTTTTCAGACGAAATTCAGCTTTCCAATTGTATTCACAGGATGGATTCAACATCAATTTCATGTCTGCAAGTTTATTGTCCAGGAAGGCGTTGGACTGTTACTAGTTAGAAGTAGTTACTAGGGCTGTCACGATAGAGCGATGCATCGGTACCACTATCGATGGTTGGAGATATCGATAGTTTTTTCGACCATCGCGATTTGTCGGCCAAAGATTTTGAAGGGGAAATGTCCCATTGGATTGAGATGAGTACAGTACAATATAGTCCGTCCATGCGGGGAAAGGAAGAAGCGGCGTGACCAGCATGGGCTTGCAATTTATTATCACAATCAAATTCTGGAATGCTGGGACTGACTATATGAAAGACGGGAAGGAAAAAAAAAAAACGTGTCGGATCGCAGACAGGAAGTGGGAAAGGAGAGGGGGGAAAGACCGAGAATCTTTTTTTTCTCTTCTGTTTCTATCTTCTGCTCGATCTCATCAGGTGCATGCTGCGGAAGTGGACTGCTCTTATACTCCCTTGATTTCGAAACGTACATTGGTTAATTCCCACTCTATATTCCTGTTTCTTTAGTATGCAGGCGTAACTTAATTTTTTTACTTGCCCTGGGGCATTTTATCTCTACTTAAGGTGAACTCAAAGTGACTTTTTTACATTGACGTTGCTTATTCTAGGGCTGTACCGATGTTTCGGTAACCGCTGGTGTGGCACCATCAGCAGGTTTCCTATCTGCCAGGGCCAATGTCCAAAGACAGTGTAGAACAAATAAAAAAGGAAAAAAATTACGTGAACGGGCTTGGCAGCTGATTCTCAACGGCAATAAGAAAGAATTAGGACTATCCTGATGCATCCATCGATGAATGGATGTCATCTTCTATAGTTGGAGGCATGATAGGTTTCATTACTCTTTGCGAAGGTTACACATTCACCCAATCACAAGCGTGAGATTATGGAAGCCGGATAGAGGTCCGCGCTCCGATAAAGGCAAGAAACGATGGAAGACAAACCGCTTGATCGCGGCGAGAAAAGATAGAATCCCCCCCCCCCCCCCCCCCCCCGATGCATCGATACACTATCGATTGTCCAGGTCGATACATCGATGTTTTGAACACTGCCGTCGTGACAGCCCTAGTTAGAACACAGTAGGTCTAGTCTTTTGTGATTATCTGCAACTGAATTTAACCATATACTGCATGGTATTGCAGATATGCAACATACCGGAATAATTTTCGCATACAATAGCTGAAGACTCTCTATGCGGCGAAACATCCTTGATGTTCTCGATTGAGAAGGACATCAATGTATGTTAGTTACCAACTGGGAGTATATTGAATATACCAGATCAGTACCATAACATATTAAAGACCCTTCACCTTATTTCGCGAAAAGCTTCTTAATTTTGTCATTATCATATTTCGTGTCTAAAAAAAATTAATGCGTTAGTTGTCTTATATATTCATCTCACATCTTTGTCTAATGTTTTACGAATTCCGCCTGTTGCAGTTTTTCTCATTTTGTAAATTTCTTCCATTTTGACGAAAACAAAAAATTGCACTGAAATGACCGAATTTGGATAATGTGAAGCAAAATATCTTACTTTCGTACCTTAAGGAAATGTATGCGAAATTTGAATTTTGTCACTCCAAAACTTTAATATATCTTGCAATAAAGGGTTAATGACAAAATGTTCTATCGTGGTTTATCTGTTAAGTGCATCATGTCCTTTTCTCTTAACATAAGAATTGAGGTGAGCTATGCGTTATGTACGGCTGTAGGATTTGCCAAACTGAACGGAAATTGAAAAAAAATTGAATTGCATTTAATGTCGTTAAGAAGTTCGAATCAAAATGCATGGAATGGTCGCATACTGAACAATAACACATGCACATCAAACCAAAACGGTTATATTTTCTGTGAAATTAAGGTTTTGTGTCACCCCTTCGTCCAAAAAACTATGGTAACTTTCTCAGGTAATGCCTTTTGGTGCATCAATGCCAGTTTCCTAATGCCCACACACGCACGTTCCATTTCTGCACAAATTGATCCAAGAAGACAAGATATCTGCTTATCTGTTGCATAGCTCTTTCTTCTTAGCATAAAAGTATAACATCCTGGAAACTTGCAAGTCCCTTGATCAAGTTGATCCGTTTTGCAAGCAACATATTTTCCCAATTCTGCTTAAGCTGAAAGTCTAATGAGGTCATGTATTGGAAGGAATGAAGTTTTCTTCAACAACGGCACATTTACACTCTCAAGTTTCGTTTCCGTCAATCTGCGAAGTTCTTCTCTAATGTTTAAAGTATCTCCTTATAATCTACTAGAGGGCTTTGAGACTCTGCTAAATTGAAGTGGTCTCGTCCTTGAGTGGAAGGCAAGTTTTATCTTGCTTGAGTATTATTTGATTAAATTGCTAGCAAAGATGGCATTCTGCATACTTACAGCAAACTTTCATCCTTTCTTACCGAAGGGTGCGAGAGATTTATAAACCAGAAAGGTTTTGACTTTTTCTTTACCCTGTTTTTCTTGGGACACCTTGTATACCCCTAATACCAAGTCCCTCCTGGTTTATACAACCAGATCCTTATTAGGTTCTTATTACCAGGATCCAGCTCATCATTTCCCGCTAATCCACGTTGATTGCCGTTTCTCATGACAACCACCTGAGCTCTTTGTTTGAATGAGGCTAAGGAAATCGAGATTGTTTTTTCTTTGTGAATATTCAGCGAATCTTGGCGGCAGACTTAGCCGAAGTAATATTTGAGGCTTGACGAGCCTTTTTTATAGCAAAAAAAGCAAAAGAAATGGAATATTATTTTGCAACATATTCGCCATATCATGCGACACGTTTCCAAACGTGTCATGCCTATCGGTAAGAAATTGTTTACTACACCTTGAGAGCCAACGGCTCACTTTAACTTTCGCTGCATCTTCTTTGGGGATTTCAGATCAGAAACAGTTATTTACCCCTTTTTTAAAAAGCAAACTACTGGAGATAAGACCTTGAAGTTTTGACATGCTCTCAGTAACAGTACAATTACTGAAGGAAAACAACATTGTTTTAAAGTCAGTGACATCAATTGCCTGGAATCATTTGTCCACAATTGGGGACAAATGATTCCAGTGGACAAGGGTGCAGTTTTTTCACATTTATCCAAGCATTCCCGTGCTTTTGCAATGATCCCAAAAATATTTTATGCATTATAAATTAAATGATGAGAAAGACCTATGCCCACCAGAGGATGGCATATCGAAAGAAGACATGTGGTAGACAATGGAGAATGGCAAGGTACATCGCTTCTGATTTCTTCCTGATAGTTGAGATGTCCGCAAATATCGGAATTATGCCCTATTAAAAGCTGTGTGGAATGGGGCCTTTTAAATTAATTTTTTTTTGTCCACGAATGTAGACGCTGTGCAATAAAGGGTTAAGGGTCCAAGGAGGTCAAGTCATGCTTAGTGTGTTTTGGCACGCATTTGGTGCCGTAATCGTCGATTCTTTGCATCCAACTCTGCCCAATACCAGAGTGTACTTGAGAAACTGACCGCTGCAATTCGGCGTAATCTCTCTGTTGGTGCACGTCATATTGCATCACGATAACGAATGCCCACACACTGCTCATGCAACAGCTGAGGCAATTTCAGCAAAAGAGCAGACAGTGCCCCCTCCCCCCCCCCTTGCATCATTAGATTTTCACCTCCTTGGACACGTGAAAGACTGTTCCCGTAGTAATTAAGTTGAAGCAGTGAAAGCGTCAGTGAGCGTAGACTCTGGCTCTCAGGATATGATAAACTATTTGTCACTGATTGGTTTTACAAATGAAAAACACGGTGGGAAAAGTACGTCACAATGGATGGCGATTATGTTAAAAATAACACTCCATTTCTTTTGTTGTTTTTTTGTGTAAATCCATCAAATATTGGAGAATGTGTGAATGAATTCTCAGAGTTTTCCACTCAATTGTCTTCTTTAAAAAAAAATTGAGCTCATTAATTTTATCACAACTCCCGCAATTCAAATTTTCTATTTGGTCAGGGAATGAACCTTCAGAAACCATTGGCAGCGCACTGGGGAGACTCAGGCTTCATATTCAGGCCTTCCTTGCATAAGAAATATCTCGGTTCGTTTAGTGTTCATTTAATCTTTTTCAACGTTTCCTGCAAGGACATAACGTAAAGCATAGATAAAATCCCTGTGGTTTCTAACTCTTGGGACCCTTGTAATGAATATACTTGGAGACGGTGTGCAATGGGGTGGTTGGGACAAAAGATGAACAGCCACCCAGTCATTTTCTGCTACTCTGCAAGTTTCTAGGCTTCTAATTTATCAATTAAAAATCATTACTTGACGGATTTTTACAAGTACCAAGTAGATACCATGTTTATCACGTCTTTGAGTTGCATTAAAAATGTGATAAAGTGTGAATCTGGATTTCCAGCTGACTCGTACGTTACAATCCGCTGGTACAGACACCCAGACAACTGTATTAAGAGCCTTATTTTTGCCCATAAAAAGGTGCATGCAGACATTATTTACAAAAAAAACTATGCTGATCATTACGTGACAAGGCCTGAACTCTTCTTAGAGATGGGGCTCCTACATCACCGCGATGTCCGCTCAAATCGCTTGAGTTGTGCAGGACGATTTAGCACTCGAAATCTTCGAAATTTTCATTAAAACTGTGAAAATCTATTAACATTTCTGATGCTATTGCAACCTAATAAAGGATTTTGATTCCCGCTGAAAATTCAGGTGGAGGTGGAGAACTGTGGAGGTGTTTCGAAATAATAACTCTGCTAATTATTAAGGCAAATGCTTCATTCGGTGTCATTTCACTTATAAATTGCCCTCTTTCCATTGGCACTGCGCACAAACCTCTAAGACGGCATTTAACAATTCCACTGGATCAAATAGTTTGACCAATTTTAGTGATCAATATTTGCTCTTCCAATAATCCAAAGTTTTAAAATTCGAAAGCGCATTTTTATGCCCTTACCAACAACGTCAAATTATTGCCTGGGCTTTGGCCATATAACTGTGGATGGGTCAGTAGTTCATTATTCTCCGTCGGATCATTAATACATTCACTGTTAAAAGTCGACTATGTCGATTTACAAAATTCCCATCAAGAATGCGATCGTCGACTTAGATCGATTGGAAATGTCAAGCACAAATAACTCCATGAAGCACCCAGAGATGGCGCGAAATGTGGTGTTGCTCGCATCCAGGGTTCTTTTCAGACACCATCCGAGACTCACCATACCGCTTCGCATTATTCCCCCCCCCCCTTCTAGTTATCCACAATCCCCTCCTTTGTTTACAAGCCGCTGCAGACGAGTCACAAGTTGCATCAATGTGCTCGAAACGCGTGAGAAGAATAAATTAAGGAATAACTTTTTAATGGTACAGATTCTGACATTGATTTTGTGCCAGAATATGATGCAGATTACTCGTTTGATCAGGGTGAGGAAGTTGAAGGCGGTGCAGCTGAATTTGATAATGAAAGCAATTCGGACACGGGAGCTGGTGGAAACGCCTCAACCAGCACCTTTGCAAAGAGTGAGAGTGAGAAGTTGCGGGTTGAGGGCGTTTCACAGAAAATCGTTTCGCAGACTAAACCTGCTCGTCGAATGACAGTTTCCTATAAATTGTACCTCTTCGCAGAACAAAAATAAGTCTCTCCACTGCCTATTTTGAGAATAAAAGCCTGGTTCTAGGAATCCTTTTTATTTTAAACCTTTGCCAAAATTGCTTTTAAAAGTCAAGTGAAGTCAATTGCCCGATTGGCCTAGGTCTGTATCTAAAGTTTCAACTTGTGGGCGATTCCTCGGGAAAAGTCACTCTGATCCCTCTCTTGGAAATCTTGAGTAACCGTCTTGTCTCGTTCTATATCCTTTGGTTTGCGCCGTGAAGCTGTACACACGGCACTGAGCTGCTCTTTCGGTTTAACTCCTTTCTTAGCGGCTTCCTTCAGCTGACCGCCGACGATTCTTCTCATAATTTCTTCTTTATAGGAAGCATGATCGTGAATTTCATTTGGCCGTTTCATGGAGTATATTCCATCCGTAGTAGTGGTCACAGAGCATCTCTCATAAATGCAACTCCAATATGCTCTTCCGTTCTTTTCTCGCTTGTTTGCATTGAATATACAACCTTCCACTTTTCGAAGGCACTAATTCCGTTACCGAAATCACAAATGCCACTGTCGCTGGGCACGCTTCTGAAAGTGATGTGTAGAAGCCGCCGAAGCTGAAAGTTCTTTAGCTCGCCCCATGCTAGTAAGTCCTGTCTAGCAAACGACTTTTAACGAAACGACCCTACTAGCAAAAACTGTTTATTTGGCGAAGCGACTTGTCTGTGAAACGGAGCTTTCGGTGAATCGGTTTTCTAAGAAACGTCCCAGTCCCGAAATTGCCCCAGCCAAAGTGTAGTAGAGGGATGGTCAAAACAAGACGGTACTCCAAGTATCCCTAATTTTACTGCAGATACTCCAAGACCAGTAACTATGCATGCCCGTGCAGAAATATGGAGACCTGGTACACATGATGAAATGAAACAGTTTTTAGGTTTAGTGTTCATGACTGGGATTGCCAAAAAGACGTCTCCATTTCTGCGTCTACAATCCAGGCTAATTGTTTAATTATAAAAGTGCACTAATTTTCGCAGACCCCGAAAAGCGCTGTTAATCTAGCGACGTTCTCAATTTAAAGGTCCGGCAGTGAATGTGTTGACGTAAGGTAACCGTAATGGGCATGGCTGGTCCAGGGCAGCAATTGTGGTACTGCTTCTCCAATAAAGTGGTAATATCCTGAAGCAAATTTAGTTCAAATATCTAAAATGGTGTTGTTCGAAAGGGCATACAAATGTGCTTTAGAATGAACTATCAGAACTTTGGATTCTTGGAGGGGTAAGTGTAGATATTGATTCCTAAAGTTGGTCAAACTGTCTGATCAATTAGAATTTTTAAATACAATCTTAATGGTTTGTATGTAGTGTAATTCGAAAGAAATTGAAAGAGTGCAATTTCAAAATTGGAATGATATCAGAAAAGAGGCTCTATCTTAATTGGAAGATAAGTTATTGCTAAGACCATAGTGACGGTACGGACGGGCGCTGTGAGATAAAAACCTTAAATCATTTGTATGTAATGCCACCCACATTTTCCCTTGACTCTCTGATCTTTGAAAGAGAAACTACAGGTTTTCGATGATTCTGGAATTATGATTCGCACTGCAGAGTCCACTTGCAATCATGAACTTTTCTCTTCCAATCGTCCCTGGGATTCTTATTCTCCTGACGCGTCTCCCTTTGACCTTCGGAGACCTGAAAGGAATGGGATTGGAGACGTGGGGGAGTGAGGGGATGGGCCCATTAGGACGAACACGGCAAAGGAGGGTAGAAGGTCCCCTTCCCCACTCCCTCGATAAGAATCCCCTCCGACCTCATCTCATTTTTCACCCTGCTTCCCCCAAACCCAAGGAACACAGAAACGGTTTTCCCTCTTCGCACCATCTCGTCCCCAATCGATGTCGAAATCATTGCAACACACCTCCAGGCAATCGCATTCCGGAAATAAAATAAAAAATGGAAATTACGCTTCGTAGCAAAGAAAGCAGGAAATTGCGAAGATCCTTGGGGATTTCTCAGGAGTCCACGGGAACATCAATGGAGAAACTTGCGCTCTTTGGATTAAGTCTGTTTTTCTGTCAGTTTCTCAAATTCTCCACCGTCTAGGCACGGAAGTCTTCGCGTTAATTTTCCTAACGAATATTTCCTGATGTATTTCTATTCATGCGTGGATTAGGCAAAAACTTTAGCAAATCCCGCTGATGAACTCCATTCGATTTCCCTCCTAATGGGGTTAGTTCGTAAAGTAGGTTCCGTAAGTTTCATACTGGCAGCATTTGGAGGCCTTTACCTCACATCATGACTCTTCCCACTCCTACTGCGTTCCAGCGAGCTTCCCTCCTGCTTCCTCCTTCTGAGTCGGACAAGGAACGAGTAGAAACTACCGGGTGACCCAAAAAAAGAAGTTCCTGACTTAATATGATTTCAGACGAAGCACCATGCGAGGTATTGGCGGAAAATGTATACAATGATCCAGGATGTGTTGATGATTTCATAAAAATTTCCATGAAATTGGTCTTCAAGAACCAAAGTAACTCATTAGGCCATTTTTTCCGCGCCATGTCATATGAGCAAGTACGAACCCCACCTGCTTAATCTGCGCACGATCAGACTTGCCCTATCCGTTACAGCTGCGCTGGCAGGCGCAGACAGATGCTTTTTTTTAGTCACCCTCGGTTTAATCACCACCCGGTCAGCGACAGCGCTCTCTATCGGTATGCAGCGCCATCTTGTGGATGTGAAAAAAAAACCTATTAGACTCATGAACCTCTCGGTCAAGTACCAGCTGGATCCAACTGTCTCTTGAAAGTTAAAGTTGAAAAGTTCATTGAATTTGGAGACGGTCGAGCACAGGTTAAAACCTCACTTGAGATGGAATGATCCACCTCTAAGCACCTTTATTTCACCTCTAAATGGGCATTGTAAAATTTAGGCAAGGGTGCTGAAAAAAAGCTGGTAAGCATTTGAACACCTTGTAACTGTCAAATATCAATCGCGGATCTAATTTAATTTTTTTTTTGCTGCATTTATGAAACTGTGTTTCTTCCATAGAAAACGGTAGAGCGTTTTTTCAACCACCCTATATATGATGCTGGCATTGGTACGAGAGCATTACGATACATATAGCTCAAAACCCCTAAATGTACATTACCTTGTACATCCTTGGGTCAGACAGGCACTAGCATCTGTGAAGGTAGGAGAGGAGGGAGAGTCATGCTATGACAATTAAAACTACGAGTACTCATTCAGGATTCTCCAGGAAGAGCTTTAACCCTTTTTCGGCGAAAAAAATCTGGTTGGTTTTACTTAGTTCATAGAACACAGGAAAAGTGGGGAAAATTTTCATTCCTCAAATTTGTAAGTATTAGGTCCAAAAATGTTATTGTTGCATATTTGCTACAAACATCATTTTCAGCTTTCTAACCCACGTTTGCATGAAGGCATGAACTCAATCAGTTTGTCAACATTCGTACATACCTCAACGCAAAAGAATATGTAAAAATACGGATGAATCTAGACCCTGAATTAGCGTAAAGTTGAAAATAATTGCACCAATTGCAATTGTCAGTCTGTCACACGACGAAGCCGTGTTTTTCTTTTGCTTGCCACCAGGAGTGTAGGGCACCTAGCGACCGCTGGGGTACTAGGTACGAGGACTGGACTGTCGCACATCTGCTACGAACCGACTTACCGCTAGAGCTCGCTACCTACGTATTAAAAAAAATGTTATTTGGAATGTAGCATATCTGCTACATCATGCATTAAAGGGCTAAGTTGATGATCATAAACGTAATTGTTATGTAAATCACCATTATTTTTCAACCATCAAATGGTTGCTGATGATCACTTTTCAATCGCCGCGAAATGATGAGAATATGAATCAGGATTGTGGCAACCCAAAAAGCCTTATGGATCAATACTTCTATCTGGCATGACATGTCTTGGAATTTCATTTTAAACTATCACATGTACATATGATGTACTGCCCTTAGGTTTTTTAAGCTACACGTTCAAGTTCACATTTAATTTGTGCCATTTCACTGCTTGGAGAGTGAAAAGAGGAAAGAGACCTGAAAGAGGAAAATTGTGTAGGTGTTTTGATGGTGTTATTGGTATTGCGAGGGAAGACACCTGACTATTGTTACCATGTTCACCATGCTTGCCATTGAAGCTCACATTTTTCCGGTACTTGAGTGTATAATCTGGAAAGATTGTGGGGTAAGAAACCGTATAACTTGCAAACTTAATCCAAACCAAAAGCGTTCACCTAACTTACCATGTGAATTTTGTAAAACACATACTGATGTCCTCATATCCTCAAAAAATGCTTGTCAATCCTTATCGCTACAGATTTTTTTTGCAGAGTAACTCACTTGATAGTCTGATCCCTTACTAGGATCCTGCAGCAAATTATTGCAGTTTACTTTATTCATTAATCAAATTGCTGTGATGGAATACAATTGCGACTCAGCAGATTTGTTAAGTATGGAGACCTTGGAGATGTAAGAACTGGTTTTAAAAGATGTATGGCGGACCTTGTAGGAGCTGGTAAGCAAGATGCTGAACCTGGACTCCCGCCACCGGCCATCAGCTTCTCAGATTCTTCAGCACATGTGGATCTCCAACCGGGATCATCTTCCCTCACACCGACTTGCCCTTCAGGATGCGCACCTCATCAAGGTATCTCGCTCTGCTTCTCTTTTTCTCTTCCTTTCCCCGTTTGCAGTTAACATGGTTCGGGGGAAAAATGTTTCATTGTTTTATGTTTTATTCATTCAATTCATATTCAATGTTTTATTCATTTTTCAACAAGAATATTAATGTTCAAAGCTTAGCGTGTCTCCTGCGTATCTATATGCTTCTGCTGGTATGAGATTTTTAATCCTTTTCTTTAAATAATAAAATTGATTTTTTAAATCTAGTTTCTCCATGCTCGGGATGTTCTTGGGATGAGATGTTAAGTCTAATTCTCTCTATAGGTTTCCCATGAAAAACAAAAGGACGACTAAGGGTGTTGTGAGCAGGGTAGCTTTCCAGTATGTGATGCAAACACAATGACAGCGTGACAGAACTTGTCTGATGAACACCCAAAACAGACTGCTCCAAACGACAGGAATAGGCAGTAATAATAATTCAATACCCCAAGTTGGATTGGCTCCAAGTCAGGGACATGTGTCATGGGACACCCTATAGAGGCCATTCCATTATTTTTTCATGCCAATCGCCTGTTTGACGTCACCGAAGGGGAGAGAGTAATCCCCGGAGGATACCGTAAAAGTTTTAGCTGGTGAATGGAATGCTCTTCATATACTCACCGCCAAAAAAAAGCACGACCAAAAGGAAATTGAACGATCTTGATTAAACTTGCCATACAAGCTCATACTAATGTTTCATTAAATCGATTTGAATTTCAAGGGTGTGGGATGAATATTCATGGAGAAAACTTGCTAAGAAACGCAAATTCTATAGAGGACCATCCTAATCACCCAAAACGGTCACCTAGAATTCTATTTATGAAACGTGGTTTGAAAAACATCTAAAGATGCTGGGAAAAATCGCAAAGTTTCAAGGGCATGGGATGAGGGAATGCAGAGAAAACTTGTCGAGTGACTTGACAGTGAGAAATGGGGAAAGAGGACTGTGCTATTGATGACGCCAGATTCCATTTCACTTCCCCTCCAGCCATTTCACTATACTGTATAGCCGTTGTTGAGAGTTTAACTGCAAGGCAGTGCCAAGATGCAATCCTTGAAGGCGTTCAACAAGTTGTTAGAGTGTTTGATCGCTGTATATTAATTGGGATGCATGCATCAGGCTGATGCATGTACATATAAATTCGAACATCTCAGTTTTTTAATTCTCAGTCTGAGTTTCATCTGAGTTTCTCTTGTTTATTTGATTTCAGGGAGCATTAACGGCAACGTTTCGTGCAGTGCACGAGAGCCCCAAAGCTCCAAATCTGGGCCCAGTTGCCGCCTCAGCTCTGGCCAGGAGACGAGGGAAATCCAGACCCAAGTCATCTTCAGAGGTGTGAAAAAAAGGCTGAACAAAAAACTAAAATGGATTTTCTCTTCGGGATGATTTTTCCTCTCTTGTTGACTCCTGTTATCGTCGTTCCAGAGAGGTCTGCTTGTTTTTGTACCAGTGCCATCATATGTCTGGTTGTGATGATTAAGGACCAGAAAATACACCCTGACCCGAAAATTGAAGAAACACGTGCTCAGTGAATTCATTCCAGTGACCTCGGTCGTTTTCGGGAGTGATATTTTTTCTCTTCAGCAGTCCATGATGATTCATCAATCTTGTATCGCCACATTCCAATTCAGGGTGAATGAGTGTGTGTTAATTTTTTCTCTCTCATTGTCTCAAAATATGTTATTCAAATTTATTCCAATATTCCTTTTATTCTTCTTCCAATTTGTCTCGTAAACTCCTGTTGGATATTGAGATTTTTTCAGATGATTCCACGTTGTTGCCATAGAATATTCAAGACGGTGCTACCCATCCCTAGTCCCTTTGTCCTCCCTCTGCTGACATTCTCAGGCAGACGAATTTCCCATGTGATAAGCTAAGTCGTAACTGATACAATCGCCGCTCGAAGCTGCTATACAATCATGTGAAGTCAAAATAATTGTAACTTCTTGGTTGAAACAAAGGTAACTTTTGTATAAACATGAGTCTTTTCTGAAAAGTTCTATGCTTGTCTCAGTCTTCAAATGCTATGTTAACATTTAAATTTCCTTCTGAAAATTTATAGTGAAAAAAAAATCGGCTTTGTGAAATGGGACTTTCACACCATTATCAAAGATGCTATGTGAACAGAACTGATGTCTATTCCGTGAAAGTCTTTACCAATCTTCTTTTATACAAGATCTATGAAATATATTGCACAGTGTGAACGAAGTGTAATAGATCCCCGATTTTGCAAGCGTAAGTGCAAAGTCACGTTTGGAACGTCTAGTCAAATCTCAATCCAGTGATGTTCTCCCCCGTGATTTTTGCAGAGAATTAACGCTCTCCCCCGCCAACCAGCATCGCATAGCCTCATGTTTTGGTGCCATATATGTAATCCAAAAAGGTTTTCCCTCTTCCTCAACATTGTTGTGGATCCTGTTTCGTTCACTGAGAAGGAAGAAAATAAAAGAGAGAAATGGATTTCATCTCATTACTTTATTGACCTTTCAGAGAAATAAAACATCATCATCATACTTAAAAGAAATATCTGAAAGAAAAATAGATTTGTAGTCTTTCCAGAGTCTCTTTTGGGTTTTTTTTTTTGCAGGCTTCCTCTCTCACCGATACATACATGTGTACAAGATCCGATTATAAGCTTCCTTCTTGCCAGAAAGAAATGAGATTTCTGAGAAATCCTTGTGCCTGGGGTGGGAGAAAGCATGTCTTGTGTGTGCCAACGATGATCTATAGACATGATGTCCCTACAGTGTTTGCAGGAATCCAAGCGGGTTCGAAGTTCCATATGTTTTGCACATAGCGTCAACAAGTGCAGAATATTATCACGCGCATAACGAGAGGGAGGGGAGGTTAATGATGAACTTTGGGGTCTGCTCGAGCACCAATCAAAGACAAGGATGAGGTGTGAACACTCAAAAGTATTTGTCGGAGCACACAGCGACAAGAAAACGATACTCTGCCATAGACATGTTTGATGTTTCAGTGGAAGATCGGAAACAAACTTTGTTGCTTTGGAGTTACCATAAAGCCGCAATAATGATTTCGAATGAATGGGTTAAAAGTCATGAATTCCCCATTCATCAGCATAAAATAATTTTTTGTTCAGAAAATTCGTCATTCTTCAAGACTTAAGATTTCCAAATGTTCATAATGAATTCGTTGCAGCTATATGATTACCCCAGCTATTTTTTATTTATTTTTCCAGCCGAATCCACGGCAAACGGGAGAAAGCTTCGTCTCAGCCCTGCTGTCTGAAGGCGAACCAACAGACAAATAAGAACAAAATTAATCAAAGAAGAAAAAGACACAGTTCCAGCCTGCTTCTTATCCTGGGGCCTTGTATCATACATCACAGACTGACTTTTTTTTCTCAGAAACGCTGCCTCGATTCTTGGTTCATTCCAATTTGACAGACATCGATAGCTTAGGGGAATTCGTATGTACATATGTTCAGCATCCCTATTTATTATATTGTCCTCTTTCCACACTCGCAAAGGGGGGCTCCGTACAGAGTGGGAAAGGGAAATCCAGAGAATCGAGGCAGAGTTCAAGAATGTATTGTTATTTCACCGCCTCAAGAAATCATCATTCCGAGAAGGAAGCAGTCTTTGTTCAGAGTGCATTAACTAACAATAAATGTTAGCAGCCGCAGTAGCATAAATAATAGTGAAGAAAAAATAGCGCCTGACATCGAACGACTATGATAGAAAAACTGGAGAAGAAAAAAATTTTGGATGGATGAGAAAACCCCCTTCCAAATATCAAATTTACACCGTTCCCTTATTGCTTACCTTTTATGCTGGCCGGCCGGTATACACGAACAGGTTGGTATTTAATACGAGACGAAACATATCACTCTCGCTCCCATAGAAATGCAAAAAAGGAATGAGTCCTTTTTTTTTTTAGGGGATGAGGAATGGGGAATATTTTCTTCTCTCTTGCTCTCTCGTTCACATCATATATAGAACTGCGGGATGTGTTTCTCTCTCTCTCTCTCTCTCTCTCTCTGTCTTTTCTTGTCTGAGGAGATTGTCGAAGTGATTGGAAGTGAAGGGGAGGAGTCCAGATTTCCCCCGACAAATCCTTGGAAAAAGGGTAGATGGAAGGAAGAGGAGGAGGAGGAAACACGAGGGGGGGAGGGGGTGGTGGTGATGGTGGTGGTGGTGGTGGTGATGGTAGTAGTAGTTGATGACGTCACAGATACATTCCATGTGTTCAGCGTCGACCCCTGTGCCAACGTAGGAGAGCGTCTGCTAATACATCCAGGTGTGCTTTAGTCTGCAAGAAAGACACCAAGAAATCGAGGTTAGCCCGTTGCCGCGCCAAAATAAATTTTCCTCTAAAAAAAAAAAACCTCATAAAAGGGCGCTACGCCTGCATATTTGTTACCGTCATTATATTAAGATAACGGTATTATCAGAGGTGAGTACTGATTTCAAACTCAGAGCACACTCATCAGCCAACTCACTCATTAAAAAAAATAAGACAGCAATCAGGGAAGAAACAGACATTTCGGGAGGGGGAAAGATCTGCGGGGCAGAGTTACCTCTGGAAACACTGGATCCAGAAATTATACATCTGGGCCCGTAGACTGCCTCCCCACCTTGTCTAAGCCTTTGACTGCAATTGTCTCTATAGTCCAGATAGAGCCTTGAAAACATGTTTCCACAGTGGAAGCATTGGCCTCTAATAGGCGAAGTGCAACAGTTGATAAAAGTTATATCGGAAGATGGAATACTGGCGTTCGTGCAGGTCGAAAACTCTCCTGGCTGTCTGATCGTACATTTAGACGAAGACGTACTTATTCTCTTGCAAGCCACCTCAGTGCCTTCAGGACGCTCAGACAATGACGATATCCAAGCGCTTCCTTCGCATGAACGAGAGGATTCCGAAACCTTTGCAGTGGTAAATTTTCAATCATACTAAGTGAGCACCTGAATGATGTCATTGATTAAAGCATCTGACACGCCTGAAGGTGTGAAGCAGAATGTTCTGATGTTGATGTCCCAACGTGGAGGAAGACCTCTCATCAGCTGCTTTTGACAACCCATCATCCTCGCTTGACCCCCTATCAAGGTCTCTTTAGAGAAATAGTGTTTTCGAGTCGCACCCCTTAGAAAAATTGTTTTTTTGCTGTGAAGGAAATGTTTTGTCCCCTCTCCAAATTGAGACATTTCAAGGATAAAAGGAAATCATCAGATGTTCGGATTGTACGTCTCTATTCCTCGCAGGTATATTGATGGTCAGCATCAAGTGAAGGTGCGAAAAAAATCAAGAGTGGATGGGGGTTTAAGGAGAGAGTTTCATTCCACTCCATTCAACTCATCCAAAAAGAGTGCAATTTCGTTTTCTCACTTTCCGTTTCGCTTTCGAGTTGCATCAGGCCACGTTGGGCACACGGCGCTCGTAGGACTGATTCCGATTCTCCGGACGTGAGGTAAAAAATATCGTGGCCGAAGTTCCTTCATGACTCGAATAACCGATCGCCCAAGCCACAAAGATGTGAAAGAGGCATCAACAGCGAACGAAGGCGCAATGAATGAGATACAAGAGGAAAATAAATAACGTAATGGAGAGATTTCTCCTCTTGGCATGCAAAGAAATGTTTTGGGCGCGGGAAAAGTTACCATTCCGCCAAAACGTTCCAGACTTTCCTGGATAGAGAAATTAAGAGCAGGTGGTTTCGTTCTGCCTAGGAATCGGAACGTCACCGAAGGGCGTGACACTCCCCCACAGGAAATCAACCAGCGAAGAACGAACGAGATTCAGCATGCCCAGAAGAGGACTGGAGATGTCGAGATCATCCCGCGAAATGTCACTCGAACGTCATTTTCAAAATCCGAATGGACGGTTTGTCCCTTCTCGATCGTACGAATAGCCGACAAAACGACGATCACGGGCCACGAGTGATAGACGTCTGCGAGATGCGAGATGCGATGGAAATTGCTGGAAAGCGATCGCGAAATAGGTGTCAAATCGCGCACCGAGACTCGGACGGAATGAAAAGAGATGGAACGGAAGGAGAAGCAAACTCCATCACGAAACCATTCGTGCAATCTAAATGATGAGTATGTCCCTGAGGAAACAAGTGAACGCTACCTCTCGAGTACCTTGCCCCATCGACTTCAAGTGTGCATCGAGAGCATTCATCGCGATCTCGACGAGCGCGATTGCAATACGAGGCAAAGCGAAGGCATCATTAATGAAATGAAACGTGCACGCTTCGTTTTTTTTTGTTTAGAAAAGCCGCTTAAAGCTGACAGAAAACGGAAACTCGATGAGAATTCATATGCGCTTCTCGATGACGCGTAGGAATGCACCATTTGGTTTTTGCCGAACGCGATCGATTCGCAGTTCGAAAGCGGATATTAAACTCGACTCGAGCGACAGTGTCACCCTCGTTTCTAACAGGGTGTTTGACACGGCCAGCATCACCGTGCACAAGGCCAACATCACCGTGCTGCAACACTGAACGGCCGAGGGAAGAAAGTAAGGGAGGCGATCTCGGTGTGCGCCGTGGAGCATTCCAGTCGATCTTTTCTGTTGGGATGCTCTGTCTTCGATGAGTCCTCGATGAGAAAACCATACGAATATACGAAACGAAGCAGTCGAATTCGCTCCCCGGCCCCCTCTCCGATGCAGCCGCCCTTTCCCTTCGTTTCCTCCAACCTCGAAGCCCCATCGACGGGGCAGAACGTACCGTTCGCAGACGTTCCCTAAAGAAAGCCAGAAACGCTTTCGTGGGAAGGTACATCTCCGTGCACGACGGAGAAGAGACGAAATGGTATTACCTTTCCCCATCCCACGCAATACTGCGAGGGGATGAGGGGAAACCGAGAAGGAAATGTCTGCCAAGAGCACGTTCCTCCGTTCCCTAATCATCGCGAGTAGAGGCTGTTGGACCCCGCCCGAAGCTCGTCGGGTTCAGAGCCGAGAGGAGCAGTAAACCCCGTCATTATTTCGCGGATCCCATAAAAGGAGAGCAGGGAAATCTGCGGTCGATGATTTGTTTGCGCTCGGAAGCGGATTCCCGCCTCTTCGTTTCCCTCGGGGAAGGCCTCGAGTTCTCTCGATCGAAGGAAGGAAGATGGAGTTTCCGAAATTTCCCCCGGCGTGACGCCGCGATGGAAAGACGATCCATTCATCGTCGTCCTTGTTGTTGTTGTTGCGTGATTAATGGATGGGGGGTTCCTTGTTGTTGGCTCTCTCGTACCGTTCCATTTCTCCGTGCCGATCCGTGATGGATGATCGGGATCGTCCTGCCGAGGTGCAAATCCCTTCCCCGTCCGTTCGCCTTTCAAATCCCGCCTGCGTGGGTGGATACTACGCAGAAAGGATTCTAAACGAAAAGCAGGAGTTTATGGATCCGCAGGAAGGATGCCGAGGGAATCGCGGATCTCCGAAGGACCGAGCTTTTTCCACTCTCTGCACGTTGCCTACGTGCTCGGTTTACCGTC